ATGAGTTGATGATGATGAAGAAGATGACGGTGAAGTTGAGGATGATGAAGTTGATGATGATGAAGAAGATGACGGTGAAGATGATGATGGTGAAGATGATGATGGTGAAGATGATGATGGTGAAGATGATGATGGTGAAGATGATGATGGTGAAGATGATGATGGTGAAGATGATGATAGTGAAGATGATGATGGTGAAGATGATGACGGTGAAGATGATGACGATGAAGATGATGATGGTGAAGATGATGATGATGAAAATGATGATGGTGAATGAGGGTGATGATAAGCGATGAATTTAACAACAAATAAGTCTGTGATGACTACTATGAAGTTGTTGTTGACGTTGTTGATCGCCAACAGCATTAACAACAACAACATTAACAACAACAACAAAAACAACATTAACAACAAAAAACACCTCCATTCATCAACAATATCAACAGCATTTTTAACACCACCACCAACAAAAACAACGACAACAATATCAACAACGACAACAACAGAACTAACAGCTTCTTGCAAGCAGATATCTTTTAGCATCTGTAGTTTAGCGTTCAACTGTTCCTCCAGCATCAACTTTTTGTATTTCAATTCTTGACAGTCTGACTGCATCACCTCAATAGTCTTTTGACAAACTATAAAATGTGTATTAAAGAAATAAAAGTTCATCACCACCATCTTCTTCATCATCATCGTCGTCGTTGTCGTCATTATCATCACCGTAATCTTCATCACCATCACCAACATTATTGTTAGATAGAAAGAAAAAGATTCCTCAAAAACATGTCATTTTGAAGGCACATCAATTAATTGCCTTTATTTAGAACCTTTTTTCAAGAATAAGTAATTCCATAACTGAGCTAAGCGGATTACCCAGCTTCTAAAAATAATACACTAATTAATTACACTTTTATACATACGTACACATCCATATAACATACATTTATACATTATTCATTTATACATACAAACAAATAAACAAACATATACATACATAAAAACACATACACATTATATACACGTGCATACTTATATACATTTATTCATTAAAATTAATACAAAGCAATACGAACCTTTTGATTTGAGTGGATCACACGAATTGATGCCAATATCATCATTGGCTGATTGTTGCAACATTTTGTCCTTGATATTGTTGTTGCTGCTGCTAATACTAATGTCGTTGTTGTTAGTAGTAGTAGTAGTAGTAGAAATAGTGTTATCTGCTGTTGTTATTGCTACTGCTGTTGTCGGTGTAACAGAAAAGACTTTGGTTAGAAAACTTGGCGATGATGCTGCTGGCAATAACGTTTCCACCAAACATGAAGAACTATTCGTTGAGCTAATTGTTGTCGATAATGTTGTTGTTGACGTTGTTGTTGATGTTGTCGTTGTATCAGTTGATGCTGATGACGATACTAAAGGTAGTGATGATGACGATGACGATGACTCGTAGAAGTAGTTGTCCAAGTGGAACCTCAGTTCATCAACACCCCATGGGACCGTTACATGCGACTGTTGGATCAAGTTTATAATTATTCAATTAATATTATTATTAATATAATTATAATTATTATTACACCATTATTAGAATTTTTATTTTATTATAATTAATGTTAAATATTTCTGATAAAACTCTAGTTTCTCTTTAGATTAAGTTTATATTTATAACATATATACATATTTGTGTGTGTGTGCGTGCGTATGTGTGATGTGTTTGTTGGTAGTTATTGCCATTGAAATCTATCTATCTATTTTATTTTATTCTATTGTGGGTTGATGTTATCACAATAAATAATGATTGGGCTGAATAATAGAAAAATGAATGAACGAACGAACGAATGAATAAATGAACAAACAAACGAACGAAAAAACAAACGAATGAACCTGCAAACCCCCAAATACAAATTGAATAAATGAATGAATGAAAGGATTGTACTGAAATAAATTAACTCAAGAGGCTCAAACAGTTATTCATGAGTAGCAAGCCTAACTATGCAGCTCTAGCTAGGCGAAAGCGAGGCGACTGACTAACTCGATATCACTATTATTAAAATATAGAAAAATTTGGCTCAGCTGACGGAGATGAATACATTTTAAAAAGTTAACTAATAAATAAAGATATTATTCAGGTGAACATCACATATTAGTTCGTTAACAAAATATGTAATTTGTAAAATGAAAGCTTTATGTCAAAAAACAGTGACGATGAATTTAACTAAGTTTAGTGAATAAATAAAAAGATGAACGAACGAACGAGCGAACGAATGAATGAATGAATGAATGAATGAAGGAAAGAATGAGTAAATGAATGAACGAACGAATGAATGAATGAATGAATGGAAAAAGGATGAATGAGTGAATGAATTAATGAATTTATAACCGATCATTGTTACACCGTTTCAATCCACTGACTAGCAAGTAACGAAATGACTGAACTAGCGAGAACGTACACTATCACCTTCTTGTCTCAATCTATTATAGCGTGTGTGCGTGCGTGCGTGTGTGTGTGTTTGCGTACATGCGCGTAGTCAGTAGCAAAAGTCAGTTGGTTGTTTATTCGAAGAAAATAATTAAGATCATCTACCTGTGGATATGAATGTGCCGATCGGATGCAAACGTCTTTATTTATAAAGTGTCTGTGATTCTGTGTATACATAGATATGTGCGTTTATGTGCATGTGCCGGCGTGTGTATGCCTGTTGTGTGCGTGTGCGTATGTTTGCAATGTGCTGTATGTATGTATGTGTACATTGTATGCACAGCGCACGCATCATTGTACACTTGTTTGAAGGTTAATATAGCTCTATCTATGTCCGATGGTCGTTCTTCCTCATTACCTTCATAGCAATGGCCACAGTTTAGTAGAATGTATCTATTTATTTTCCAAACTTTCTCTCTAACATTCTTCCTCTCTCTCTCTCCCCGATTTTCTCTCACACACTCTTTCTATAGCATAATCTCACTCGCTCCTCTCTCTCTCTCTCTCTCTCTCTCTCTCTCTCTCTCTCTCTCTTTCTCAAACTCTTGAAAACTTGTATCAAGTGTGTGTATAATGTACATATTCATCGATAACACTGCAGAAACACATAGCAACGCATCTATACAGGAGAAACCACACACTCATATACCAATTAATGTTTATAAACGTACGTGTGTGTGTGTGTGTGTGTGTGTGTGTTTATTTATGTGTGTGTGTGTTTATTTATGTGTGCGTGTGTTTCTCAACGCAAAATTTGATGTACGTGTGTTAGAAAAATATTTCCAAAAATTGAACTCTTCATAGACACAACAAGAAGACAGATTTTTATGCATAACCTCAGTCAGCGTTACAACAAAAATACATTACAATTCAAAGTAAAAATGTTGTTCTAAACAAAAAAGCTTTAAATCCAAATTCAAATGGTTCTGAAACAACATATAACACGTAAGCAGATGTAACACGGTCACACACATACACATATGTGTGCACGTGTTTATGTAATTCACATACAAACAAACTTACACATACACGCACATACACATACGTGAGCACGTAGAGCCTTGGGACGAGAGTGATACACAGAAAATTAGTTAAATTCTTCAATTTCTCTCTCGCTCTTTCTCTCTCTCTAACGTTAAACACCGTCAAACAATTAAACATTGTGTACATTAAATCAAATCTTTCTTTATGTATGTGTGTAAATATATGTCTTAAACACACACATACATATTTATATACATATATATATATATATATATATATATATATATATATATATATACACACACATCTGTGTTTGTATGCATGTGTGCGTTTTTATGTATGTGTTTATTATTTTGTGTTTGTGTTCAGATGTGTGTATGTAATTTTAGTTCATGAGAATATTAGTATGAATGGATTATGTTGCTCAGGTAGGCAAACATCCATACAAACATACATGCATAGATGTATAAATGAATAATCATATGTTACATTACGCACCACATGTGCATGAACAGCGTACAGGTACTGCTTGAAAACCACCCAAAAGTTCTTCACTTCAACTCGGTGTGGTGATTCATTGGTATGGAGAGGATCAATTCATCTATTCGTCCATCCATCCATCTTTTATTCCTTTATCTATTCATCCATCCATTCATTCATTCATTTATTAATTCAATTGTTTACTCATCAATCCATAACAAACCAACCAACAAGTTTATTCTCTCTCTTCGATTATTCGTTTGTTAATCTTTCATCCATTGTTTATTCACTAATTCATTCATTCATTCATTCATTCAACAACTCATCCATCCATTTATTAGCAACAACATTTTACAAGTACAGTGGAAATTTTTTGCTCCTATCAAAACTGACGGGTCGGATTACCAAGTGACTAAGTGTGACTACACACATGCTCAACAAAAACATGAATGAAAGAAAGTGATTGAAAAGTGATTGAAAGAGAGAAAGAGAGAGAGAGAGAGAGAGAGAAATGAAACAAACAGATGTGGTCCATATATTGATCATATTAATTAGTTATCAAATTTTTAAATGATAATAATTATAATTATATCTGACCTCGAGAACATACTGAGACCCTTTTTACGTCACATTAGAAATATGTTCCCGCACGTATACATACATATACATAAATAGAAACATAAACATAAACACACACAAGTACACACACATACATGCATACAAACAAATACAAACAAACAAACCCGCATATATATATACATACAGACATACATACATGCCTATTGACTTACTCCGTGTTATCATTTCCTGGTGCGTGCGAAGTTCTGGCTTTTGGATAACGTAGTTTCCTTGTTTGCTTTCTCCCGCTCACTCTAGATATTTTTTTCTCAAACTAACAACTAGAGTTGCACAACTAGGAACAACAGAAAACAACACAACACAGCGAACGTTAATTAATTCATTACGACGCTTAGCTGTGTTTTTTTTTTTGATTAGAAAGTTGTTCGTTAAATAACAAGGAGGCCACGTCATGCCATGTGAACATGAATAGATTATATTATCGGTGGGTAGAAAACCGAAAAGTAGCAGGCAAGCAGAAAAAAAAATACGTAAACCAAACTACCCTGGCGGACAAATCCTTAAAAAATTTGAATGAAAGATTGCGTGCTAGCAACAGCTAACGACAAGAAACACACAATGACCAAGTCACAAGCGACCTCATTCAAAATTCAAATTTCAAAAACTGTGCACACACTTTGAAGATGAATTTTCGTAACTCTGGAAAAAAAATGTGAATTATTAAAATGTTGGCTGGATGGCATTATCTGAGGATGATGATGGTGATAAATAAATATAAATATATAAATATAAATATAAATAAATAATGGGCTTAAACGTAAGTTATATATGCCCGCCCATATCAAAATAGCGCTAAAAGACAACAAAAAGCAATCAAACAACAATGTCAATTTTATTTATGATCATGTAGAAAATCTTTGTTGGCCATATATAAGTCAAAATTCCTCTTGAAGTTGGAAACAGTACCTGATCCAACAACGCATGTCGGTAAATTGTTCCAAATAGAGATCATATAGTGATGATGATGACGTAGATGATGATGATGACGTAGATGATGATGATGACGTAGATGATGATGATGACGTAGATGATGATGATGACGTAGATGATGATGATGACGTAGATGATGATGATGGTGTCAATGTAGACGAGATGATGATGATGATGGTTATGCTGATTTGTGTATCAGAGATGAATTAATAATGAGAGGAGAGTGCCGCCACTAGGAAATATCACTTATGACTGATTGTCCTGTAAAAACATCAAACGGCCATCCAGCCAACCAACCAACCAGCCAACCAGCCAACGATCCATCCATCCAACCAACCAACCAACCATCCATCTATCCAACCAACCAACCAAAGATCCAACCATCCAACCAACCATCCATCCAACCATTCAACTCATCGAGACGACGATAGTGACGGCAACGACGATGATGATGAAGGAGAAAAAAGGGCGACAATGTTTAAGATAAGGACAAGATGATCATGACGACGATAACAACAACAGCAACAACAATGGCAACAGGAGAGAACACTGATTAACATTCCAATAAAAAAAAACAATACAACAACAGTGATGTTTATAGAAAACAACATTTTAAAAAACAACTTCATGAAATATATAGATACGAAAAATTGAAAAAAAAAAACAAGACTGGTAATAATAATAAATAATATTAATAAATAATAATAATAATAAATAAAAATAATAACGACAGCAACAACAACGGCAAGGTGATAACGAGAACAGAACGGCAGCAGCAGCAGTGATGACAACCTTAAAAAACCTATCGCTTTTCACACGCTACCGCTCAGCACATTGACATCGTTGGGCGTGTCACCGCATGAATTCGTATACATTGGTATTGGTAGTCGTATTCGGGAAACATTCGTATCCTACAATTTAACAACAACCATCTGCCAAAAATTGAACACAGCAATTTAAATAACACTAAAATGATAACACTAATAACATTAAAATGATTGCATTGATAACAATAACATTAAAATGATCATTGTAATAAAAATAACATTAACAACAACAACAACAAACGACATAGCTACCAAAAAATGACACTATAGAAACACCACTTGCATCAACAGCAACAACAACAACAACAATAATAATAACAACAACAACAATAACAGCATTAAAGAAACAGTCACCCATACATAATCTGGCAGAGGGAGGTAGAATTTATTGCACAACAATTGCAGTACATCGCTTGCATTAGAGGTTTGCGCGTATAATACTTCCTAATACACACTTGTATTGTACACGTGTATACGTGGTGGCTAAACCTAAAAGTATTTGTACACAATTGTGTATTGTATGTTCGTATTAAGTAAATGTATGCATGTAAGTATGTAATTTTAATGTACATGGCATTCAACAGTATTAAACTTGATGGTATTTTTCTACTGGTATATATCAGTTAGGTGTTTTTAGCCTAAATCAAAAGTTAACCAAGGCAGAACCGTATTGTATTTACTTACATGCACCCATAATAAAAAAAAACTTGAAAATAACCGGTAAGAAGATTTGTTTGTAGATCAGGGGCCACAGTCCGCCAAGTTTGTATCAGCAACAAGTTTATTTAACATAGCTAGACGTGCCGACGATTGCATTGCTTTGCATTACTGTGTTATCGTTTTGTTGAATTAGTAATATGGGTATCATTATTTATTCGTTACTCATTATTACTTACACATTACTTATCATTACTTCCTCATCTACCTACCTACCTACCTACCTACCTACCTGCCTACCTACCTACCTACCTACCTGCCTACCTGCCTACCGACCTACCTGTCAATAACAAACAAATGAAGAAACATGAGTGGCCATATTATAACATATTGCATAACCTTGAAACATCAATCAATCAATGCTGTTTCTGTGTGTGTGTGTGTGGTGTACACTGGTTGAGCTAATGAATGGATGAGAGCATAAATGAATGAATGAATGAAAGAAACGAATTAACAACAAATGAACGAATTACACAAGAAATGGATTTATCAATCAACGAACGAACGAACGAACGAACGAACAAACGAACGAATGACGTGCGTAATAAAGCGTCGGTTTGTCGTCTACTCGTCGTCTGGCGTAGTTAGACAATACAATAGCATACCACCGCATCCATCCGGTATTAAAATGTATTATACAACATTCAAAGCCTAACAAACAACAGCACACAATCATTGGATTGTATAAGATTTCTGAACAGAGAACGCAGTGTCCCATTACTACATTACGCAACCCTGATTAGAAAATAATCAAATAACAATTAAATACAATTAATAAACTATGCAATACGCGATTTTCTTGTACAGAATACCTAAACGTACAAAATACCTGGAATGACGGTATTTTACCGGGTTTGACTTTGCCAGAAAATATTGTTTGACGTTCATTTTAGATTGTCAAGCAAACACTTCACGTGTCAGTCAGTCAATTGATCAATGTATCAAAACAATTCATGTACGTGCATATGTATGCACCACATGTTATGCTTGGTTTTTATGTACAACACATGTCTAGAGACTATATAGACATTGGTTGCCTCACAATCAAACATTTGCATTGGTCAGTACCTTTTATAAAATTGATTGGCAAACTCTGTGCATAAAAATAGAACGGATGTGTATTTATGCGTGTGTGTGTGCGCGTGCGTGTGTGTGTGTGTGCGTGCATGTGTGTGTGTGTGTTATACTGCATGGGAATATTTGACAGAATCACAAATGATGAACGTCCAAATCACACAAATGAATGCATTTAAGACTGTACAAGAATGTACTTCCACTAAGGTGTTATAAAAACAATAGGAAAAAGAGCAATAAATAAATAATGACGATCATTGATAAATAACAAAGAAGATATAATAACAATAACAATAATAACAATAACAATAGTTATAACAATAATAACAATAGCGATGAGCTCTGTTGGAACTAGAGTACTTACCTGCCTGCACGCTGTACAATACACACACACAGTACCAAATGTGAGGATTAAAAGTATTAAAATATGTACCCAAGTATGTATGTATGTATTTATGTATGTATGTTGTATGTATGTATGCATGCATGTTGTATGTATGTATACTATTA